AAAAAAAAAAAAACTATATAACATACAATAATTAAAGTTAATACAAATTATGTTAATACAATAGAATTTTTTCGCTAATAAATTCACTAACACTTGTAAATTCGAATAACAGGAAGTTCAAGCAAAAAAAAAAAACGAAAAAAAAAAAGAAAAAAAGAATATACATTTATTCCCATGATTTGCGAATTGTAAAACAGCCATATAAAAGTATTATTACGTTGACATCAGTACCAAGAGATGCAGTTGTAAAGAAAAGTGAGTATTTCGGCTACAAGCCAAGGATAATTATAGTCTCAAATCACAGTACATTTCGTAGTGGTGACATTTCATTTTTTTTTTTTTTTTCATTAATCTATACACAAATTTATAGATATTAAGCTCGTAGGAGTTGAAGATTTGCATTAATTTGGAAAAAAAGAAAAACAAAAACAAAAAAAATGATAAAAAAAAAGATGGTTCATTATTTTCAAAATAATATCGTCGGGAAGAAGTGTATGTATTTGCACTAAGAACTAAATATCGAGAATACAACGTCCTTCTAATTGAACAGTTTAAAATGAAGAGGATTTTGATGCGACGAAATCAATAAAATGTATTATATAACGTGTTCAATTTTTTTTTCGGAAATCGATCGATTCCAGGGGAATCAATTCACTCATAGGCCGAGAATTCTCGGCTGATTACGAAATTAGAAGGATAAAAAAAAAAGAGTTCGATTGAAAATTTGTTCAATATCCAACAGACGGAGACGCGCGATCGGTATTTAAATTTTCAAAGATCAAACGATCGTTCTTGACTTGATCAGTTTGGCTTCTATGTATACACGTCCGTGTATACATATATACACGTATACATATTCGAAACAAAAGTAGAAGGAAAAAATCGAGACGAAGAGTGGCCGCCATTGTCTGCACTAAACATGTGTTACTCTACTTGACGTTTTGAACGAAATATACATATAGGACATGTACTACCATGGTCTCTGGAGCCCCGACGATTACGACTTCTTGATCGGGAGGAGCTGTTGCTGACACGAGCGTTACCATTTATTTTACGGTCACTCATTTTCACGTTTATCAATAGTCACAGGAACACACACTGTGTTACTTACACATGTTTAAACCATAATACGTGCCTGTCCTTCCCATATCAAAAGCATATCTCATTATTTATAAAAACTCGTAATTACGAGTCACATTATTCTTTGCAATATAAAACACTGTTCGCGCGGCTCGAGTTTCAACAGCTTGTAACGCTGCTGCTGCACTGAATCAGTATTTATTTATAAATCTGCCAAAAGCTTGCCAAAACTAGGGTAGATGGATCCACGATCACACGCGTAATCAGCAACCGTGAAGTATGCATTCTGAACTGAATTCTTTCTTTTTTTTTCTTTTTTTTCCCCTCTTTTTCACGCACAGTCAAGAAACAGCATGGAAGAACGTCGAGATTGTAATATAATACAACGATGGAACTGCCCTGGACAACAACGGGACGAAGACATAAGGCGTAAATATGTTCTAAATGAAATTAATGAAAACGTGTGAAAATTGTTCGGTAATCAGTCTTTATCAAAAAAATAAAATGACACAACACTTCGAAAATTCCCTTGGAGGCTCCTCTTACACCGACTTTCACGTATCTATTTTAACCTGTGAACTGGTGCAAACCGACAGGCACGACACAGGATTTCTTAAATTAGTTCTGTTCGCCGGTTGCGCGTCGGCGCAAGCGCACTAGCGACTTTCTTAATAACCTAACCTAACGTGCAAATTGCTTTAACCGAAACGTATCGTATGTTAGAATTCGTATGTCTCCCATTAAATTAACAATCTCAATTCTCGGCTACGTGAACGAAGAAGGTGGATGACGTTACAAGTATGAAAAATGTTTGATTTATCGGTATAAACAAATATTAATTTAAATACGAAACGCATGAACGTGTACGATACTGCCACAAAGTTTTTGGAAATAACTATGCATGGCGGAAATTAAATTAATTGGGCTCTGCCCATAAAATGACTAAAGTGTTCTGATAAAAATTTTAATGAATCGCTTTTGATAGAGGAACATTTCGAACAAGTGTATCGAGTAAAATTTAGCATTTAAATTTCCAATTTTATTGAATAAGAATTAAGTTTGGGGAGGAATCTTTTTATAGGCAAAGAAAATGATGTTTGCACGTGCACAACAAAGACAAAATCTAAATGGTAGAAAGAAGAATAATGAAGGTAACGTTTATTTCATTACTTTCAAATAATCATTATAAACCATTTCAAGTAACAAGTGTTCAAATAACGTATATTCTTTGTCATTTTCCAGCAATAATCTAAGACAAAGTGTTTCGCTATAGAACAGCAGTTAATTTGATGCATGAAAGTAGCCTGAATAAGATTTTATAAAAGCAGGTCGAGGTAACAATATCTAAGAAGAATGCTGAATGATCGTCAAAGATATATACGTTAGTCATTCCGTTCCGTTATTCATTAAACTTACTAAATCAGGCATGTTCGAACAATATTAATAATTACAAATAATAATGCTAAATATGAAATTGACCACAAAATTGTTTATGTGAGTAGAAACTGAAGCTATAGGTGAAAAATTGAAGAATTACGGAAACAAATTACAGACTAAATTTGCTTGAATTAGGAAAAAAACAAATATGCAATTTATATTTAATATTTAAAAAAAAAGAAGGTAATTACATAGAGAAAGATTTATTTACTTCACCGATTTCAATGAATTGAGTATGTTGTAGAAACCAACACTTTTCAAACAAATTTCTTTTTATATGTATAACCTCTGTTCGGCTTCAATTTTCGAAATATTCATGAAAAGGCTGAGCTCAGGTTCAAAACTATTGAAGGTTTAAGTTACGATTTGTAGGTTAGTTTATGATTAGGATTAAGATTACAAAGCATTTAAGATTACTAGCACAAAAATTACAAAATAAATTTTACTATCTCAAATTTGTCTTATTTAACTGTTAAGCCTTAATCTAATGGCTTGCATAAGGTTTAGGATAGTATACTTAATATTACCTGAGAACATTAAGCGACATACCATTAACATTTTACCTGCAAGAAAATCCCGGGACATCTGTCTCTTTTATTTAAAAATTAAAACACAAAACAAACTCAAGAGCTTCTAATACAATTGTGATCATATAAACCTAACCTCAAAAATCTAAATCCAAAACCTAAACGACATATTGTCCACATATCAAAGTAAAAATGTCAAAAATTTTTTTCATGAATATCAGAATGAAAACCAAAACCGAGAAAGGCTACGTATGTATAAAGATAATCTGTTGATTTCTGCAACATATTCAAAAATCATCGAAACTGATGAAGTTATGGGAAGTTACAAATTTGAACAATTACCGAATGTAGTTTATAATTACTACAGTAAATAATAATTTTTATATCGACAATGTTAATGAGAAATGTTTCATCTACACGCTACAATTCAATTTGTTCACGAAATAAACTAATTTATCGGATTTTATCGTACGGGAAATATATATAGTTCATACGATTATTTTTCTAACCAGAGAGAACCTTTCACCCGATTGGTAAACGCTCAAGGTTGCCACTGACGCCGAAAGTCTTAAGATATTTTTTGCCGTTTCACAAGAGCATGACGCGTGCTCTTGTGAAACGGCATTAAGAGACCTTCAAACCATGCCGTAGCTCGCCATACATACGTGGCCGTGACCTCATACAATTTAATGACCGAACAATAATACAATTTTCACTATCATACACACAAAAATGGTTGTGTCCCATTTCGAATCATGAGAAGCAAAGAACTTTTCATATGATGGTAAAAAATAACTAAAATCACAATAAAAGTAATAATTTTCATGATAGTAATCTAGAAATCTAATAAAAATAGTATCATCCATAAAGTAAGTGATAATGACACGCCCAATAACTTCTCCCTGGATCTGGTTTTGTCTATTTCTAGACAATTAAATACATTCTTTGTTTTCTGCTGTTGCTTCTTGGACTAAAAATGAACACTTGGAATCAATAAATGTCTTTAAAAATCAGTCATAATTTTTTAAGCCACATGATATGTATTTTAGGAGATTACTCAACAAAGATCACGTTATTCTTATTAAAAATAATTTAGTGCAATAAAAAGATATTTAAACAGAAAGAAGTGACCAATTTAATAATTTAATAATTTTTTTAGTTATCACTCAATTAGGTTAGGTTAAGGTTCTAGTTATCACAGAAAAAAAAAACTGATAATCAAATATGGAATAGGTCTCTTCTGTGACCACTTACAAGATGGCTACAAGCTAATACATGGAAACTACTGCTGAAGATATTTGTCCCTAAAATGATTACTATATATTTTTAGATAAATAAAAGTCTATAAACATAAGTAACAAATAAGAAACAAAATGCTCGAATATTATATCATTTTAGAAACACGTGTTTAGAGCGCATAATGCACAAAATTTTCCACTATAGATACTAAATAACAGTGACTTCCATAAAACAATTAAATATTTCAATTTCTCCATTGAAATGTTTTTTAATTTCTTAATCTGTCGAACAATAATGATATTCAGACGTAATATTTACTACATGCGTCTTGAGGTCAAAAGCAGCCATATTTAAACACAATTGGGAGTTAATTTAACCTTTGAAACATATATATTTCCCAAGATTTAAAATCAACTTTCCTTCTAAAGAGTGAAAATACAACTCGAAAGAAAAATACGAAAAGCATCGAGCCAATTATATGTATCTAAACGCATTACGATAGAGCTCGCATTTGGGAAAGTTTGTGAACACAAAATGTCGGAACCACGTTACGGCAAAGGTATATCACAGCTGTATCTATCGAGGATAAATTGTCTCAAGGAACCAAAATAATTTTTATACATACATTCAATTAAGATAATCTTCTCCCGTGGTCGTTGCATCCGTTTGATCACTTGTCACAGTAACAATAATTTAAAAAAATAAAAAAGATAAAAAAGAATGCAATAAAAGTCGATATACATGAGAACTTTCAGACAGAAACGCGTAAAAAAGGGAGAGGAAGAACGATGCGTGTAAAGGGCGCTCGTTATAATTAAATAAAGTTATTATGTACAATATCTGCCAAGTATTGCAAAATAAAAATGAAATCTCTATAGGAACGGGAAAAGTAAAAACGCAGATACATTAAGCGTATTCGTTACGTTATAAAATATGTACTTGTTGAAAAATAAATAACTTTTTCAGTAGTACAAATATAAATATACACTTATGTATAGCTACAATTAATGATTTAAAAAAATAATAATTATAAAAGAAAAAAAGGGAAATGGAAGAAACGGAGTAAAAAAATACGGCCGGATAGCACAGCACGTGCTGGCTACTGGAGGAACTCCGTTGTTTGATGAGGAAAGAACTCGGGAACCTCCCTCCAGCAACACGATGGCTGACTTCGTGTAACTTCGGTACATTTCGCGCCTTTTCGTCGCATGATGATGTCACCGTTTGGCACGAAACTTCTTTCAGTTATATGCCTTGCGTTTTAATCATCGAAAAAAAAATGCATTCCGACAAATTTCTATCGACGATATATCTACTTTCACTGTTTTCCTAGTTTGTTCACGATGTTCTTTGATTTTCGAAAACTACTAAAAATGATTAAATTTGTACTTTGTACAATGTATTTTAGCTGAATTTAATTGAATACGAAATTTAATACAAAACGAAAATTTCAATCTAGTAAGCTAGTAGTAATATTGTTACTATATTCCTATTATTTCGTAAACATATTTCTTTCCCAAGACATAATATAAAAATTGAGATATAATGAAATTAAGCTGTAACAAATACACAGACAAATATTCTGTTCAATTTTTCTTTCGCCATACAAAATACAACTTATTCTGTTTCCCATTCTACATTGTTTAAAAAAATATCTATTAGTAAAACTAATTTGAAATATTTTATTCCACTTTACAATATAGAAATAGAATCGCTTAAAAAGTTATGAATTTTTATGTCAATCAACAGCGCAATTAAATTTTTTTATCTCTAAAAAATATCGATTTCGAGGCAATATTCAATTATGTTAATGAATTTAAGATACACATTTTAAATAATGTTTTTTCACTTGTTTCAATGTTGAAATATTTTACCATTTTAATAACATGATCACTTAATTATACTATACTAAATTTCACGAAAAAATATCACTTCGCAGAAATTATTTTGAAAAGCACATTTTTTGCATGAATGCAAAAGCATTTATCAATATGTACACACGATTTAAATTTATATTGAAATGAACATGAAATTATGAATCGTGAACGTATTAATTAAAATAAAACTTGTGTCGCAACTATAAGTTTAAATTGTAAGGAATTATGAAATTTTTAGGTTAGAGTTGAAAGAAGTAACACCACAAAAAAATTCAAGAACTCTCATCACGAATAATATTTTTAATATAATCACGCGAAATTTTATGAATGTTTTTTGCGAAAAAAAAAGAAAAAATCCAAATATTCAAATCTATTTACGTATGTCTAACTTAGAGACACGTTTCCTTTTTTATATTATGATCGTACACGTGTACCTATATAAAGGCATCTTCGCGGATCAGTGTACTATATATACATCATGATTTCTGATGATTTGAAAATTCATGTAAATATCGGAAATGCGTATAACATAACTATTTATATGTAAACCTATGGGCAATGATAATTATTGAAACTATCACAGAAGCAAAGTTCAAATTACAGTGATATGAGATGAAAGAGCAACGTACATATGTCGGAAACTCTAACCTATAATTTTATTTCATTCTCTTTGGAAAATATTATGACAATGGCTAATTATAATAATTATAATATAAGATACACGTAAAATAGTAAATGTTAATGAGCATAAGGCAATTATTTTTAAAAAAATTTAATCATATATCTCGTGAAGAATAATTTTTCTAAGAAAAAAGGGAGAAAAAAATATTTCTTGTAAAATATTATTAAATATACTTCATACATATCCATAAGTCATGATACTTAATTTCTACAAGAAAAAAGGGAGAAAAAAAAATATTTCTTGTAAAATATTATTAAATATACTTCATACATATCCATAAGTCATGATACTTAATTTCTACAAATTTTTGTAAAAATTTCTAAAAATTTAAATATATTATATGCTTAGTAAATATTAAGTAAATTCAAAGAAATATAATTTCTATTTGCAAAAAATTATATAAAGATAGATAAACAGATATTTGCAATTATATTCTGATAATTTTATTTGCTATAATAATATATTTATAAGCTTATTTTAAAATAAGCAACAATAAGATTATAAAAAATTTAAACTTTCTAAATGACTCTATCTCATGCAATAAAAATAATTAACAAAATTTTTTTCTTAAAAATTTTTTTCTCATAAATTCTTCCTTTTGTACTAAGAATTGATTTATATATCTTTCTTATATAATATTGTTTAAGTATCAATTAACAAAATTTAATTAAGCATTGTATTTAATTGTCATTCTAATTACCTATTATATACCACCAGTGTGTTATGTATTACAATGGCCAACATAAAAATAACAGTGCATGTAAGAGAAGTGAGAAACTATAAGTTAGCAAAAACTTACCATCGGATGACTTTTGTTGTTGAATTTCAGTTCGAGTTGATTCTGATTCCAATTTATCGGCCACCACATCACCATTGGTTTTTAAGTGATGGTCTGTTTGATTATGAGCAGGCGTAGGAGTAGTTCCTCTAGAACTAAGACTCTTTTCCCTTGTCTTTTTCTCCTTTTGTTCTTTGGCACTCGAAGGCAATTCAGTAGTAGAAACAACAGCACTAGCAGCAGGTTGTTGATTATGGGTGTAAGTCTGAGATTTTCTTCTAGGCGGTGAGCTCGATGAATTTTTATTGAATAAATTAGGGAACGGTTCTCTGGCAGGAACAGGGTTAGCACTTGGGGCAGTGGTGGACGGTTTAGGTATTTCTGGAGCGTTCGTACTTGGTGTAGTCACAATTGGAATTGATGTTTGTGTTATAATAGGTGTGGCACACATATTCTTCACTTCAACATCGGTTACGATCATTGCGGGTAACTGCGCAGAAATATCATCCTTATTTACGTTACGGCAAACAGTTAATGGTGGTTCCTCAATAACCACACTTTTCGATTCACTTCGAGGTTGAAATTCCTTCACGGGAATTTGTAATGGTTTAGACTCCGTTTTCATTGCGCAAGAGTCTATTTGAGACGCATTATTAGCGGTACCTAGCGATTGACTACATAACGCGGTTACATTAGGTACATTCTGTGACGTAGATGAATTAATACACTGATTGTTCACATCATTAGTAGAATTTGTTTGAGAATTAGATAAACTTTGTGTTATATTTTGAGTTGTAGATGTGTTTTGTACACAAGTCGGTACCGTCGAGTCAGAACTGGACTCTTCGGTCGCGACTTTCACAAGTGTTTTTGCAACCCGGGCTGCAAAATCGGCTTGCACCTCGGCACCATTATTCTGTAACAATCACCAATTCTGCGTGATAGACAATGATACATAGCAATCGAATAAAGATTATGCTTGACAACTAAAAACTGGCTCCAAACTTAAATCATAGGACGACAAATAAAACCAAATATACTAAATGAAATAAAAGAAACATTCAATATATTTTATACCTCTGTAACCCCTCAGCCATGGTTTGCAAACTATAAGCAGAATTACAAAAAACTGTATGTAAATAACACATATCTACATAATAACATACCTAATCCAGATAAAATCAATCCTATTTTTATAAGAGTTAACTACAATTAAGCTAAGTGACTTGATCGACTTCTTCAACTTTATGTAAATTTAGTACCACTAAAATTCTACAACAAATATAGAATCTAGTATTATTAGAGAATTTTCATACAATATTTTAGTATTTCTAATCTTCGGAAATGAGAATGTTTTAAAATTCATGGCTTTTGGGTACAGATATTAATAATGTAAACAAGTGACTATAAGAGAATAATAAAACATCACATTTTTTAAAAATTATTGGTTTAATATGATATAAAAATCGAATTTTCATACTTTACACTTTTATATTTTATGTGTATTTAATACGATTTCTAGTCTTTTAAATATAAACCTCTTATAGTCAATTGTTAATGTATTAATATTCCAATATTACTCACTTGTGGCTGAGGTGTTTCACGATTGCTAGATTCACCACTTTGAATATTTTCATTGTCTTTATAAATTTCGTGACTTATATTTTTACCAGTTGTTGGATCTACAATATCGGTAATAGCATTTTGTCCTCTTGGCTTTCGTGATTTTATCGTATTATTTGTCGCATTTGATGCACCACCATTATGACCTGAGTACACATCTTTAAATAACAAAATAAACGATTTACTATATATACAAAAAACCAGTTAATTATAATTAATTAATTAAATTACACAGATGTTAACAATACTAAAAAATGGTATTGTCATATTTATTTAAAAATTATTTTTCTATTTAAAAAACTAAAATAACTCACTGTAAAATCTATAACCGTTATTTGAAAAATACATGGTTTGGAACGTAGTAACGCGTAGTGACGTGTAGTCCTGTCGAATGTCTCCAAACGAATGAGGAAAGTACAAGACTACCTCTGCATTTATACTGACAAAATTTACATAGAATTCGTCACAAAGTTTCTACTTGAACCCTTAAAAAAATCTTTATTTGAACTCATCAGAAAATTTCTACCTGAATTCTTAAGAAATTCTTTATTCGAGTTTGTCAGAAAATTTCTACCTGAACTCTTAAGAAATTTCTACCTGAACTCTTAAGATATTTCTACCTGAATTCTTAAGAAATTTCTCTACCTGTATTCTTAAGAAATTTGAACCATCAGTTTCTACTTCAACCCTTAAAAAAATCTCTATCTGAGCTCATTAAAAAATTTTTAAAGAGTCGTATAATATATTATACCATGTATAATTCTATATGCATACAATTAGAGTTTAAAATTCCGTTGAAACAATCTCCAAGTCTTAAATAAAATTTTCTACACTTTTCACTTTTCTTTCATGAATATTTCGTTATGGGTTTCTCTTTTTTGCAACATGTATCATTTGTAAAGATGTACGAACTATAAATGTTTTAACAAATTCTTGGAAGAATTCGTACATCAAATAATTTTTGTTGAAATTGAGCTTTCCCAAATTTAAAATATGATGTTTTCTTTACAAATGTTGGCAGAAAAAATATATACTATCATAATTTTCATTTAGTAATTAGTAAAACATTTAGTAATCCTCATTTCATATACAGGGTGTTCACGAATTTACCAGCGATTTTATCAGCGATTTCTCTCCTATGGTAAAAAAAAATATAACATTCTATTTAAAAAATTGAAAGCCATTTTCAATTTTCACAAAAATTACGCACAAAAAACATCCTGTATATTTATGTTATTACAGGGATTAGACAAAATAATGGAAATACCTCATATAAAATGTGTATTGTGTTATTGCGATTGTTCGTAACTTGCTCGCATTGAGAATGTTTCGTCTTGAATCTAAGAACTATTTTGTGCAATCAAGTCCGTCCAATAGTATAATCATTATTTTCGGAAGATAAAGAAATTTTTCAAGACGATAATGCTCTGACTCATGCAGCTGCGATTGTAAAATTTTGGTTTAAGGAACATAAAAGTGAAGTTAAACATCTTCTTTGTTCAGCACAGTTACCAAACTTGAATAGTACTGAGCCACTATAATCTATTACTTACCAAACTTGAATAGCACTGAGCCACTATAATCTATTCTTAAAAACAAAGTTAGAAGCAGATTTCCTTTTCTGACAGCTCATTAAAAGAGCTTAAGAAGATATTATATGAATGGTACATTAAATATCACTTAAGATTTGTATAAATCTATTCTGAAAAGAATTCTAGTTATATTGAAAGTCAATGATGGATGGTCCTACTACGCATCATTAGAATATTCTAAAGAATATTCTAAATAACGAGCTGTTTCCATTACTCTGTCCAACTCCAGCACATTAAAAATTGTAACTATAAATATATTGTAATAATAATTGATTTACATAATAATTTTATATATTTTAATAAATACTACTTATTTTATTTTATATACAGATTTTTCTTTTCTTTAAAATCTGTTTTTTGAAATTATCACTAACATAACCCTTTGAGTCCAACGCTTTTCTTTTCTATCTCGCAAATACTGCAGTAACAATTATAGTAATAACATATGAAATGAATACAATCTTATCACAGCCAAATGAATTATTAAATTTAATGTATCTTAAATACACAATTTAAATTTACAAAATAATTAAACTATTTAATTGTATATATAAATGTATATATATATATACATATAAAAGTTTTATTTTTTGCGAAATGCATTTAACATAGATATAAGGTATTTATACAATTTAAAACTGAATATTTTGCTGTTTAAAATATAAGTTTGGAGTTTTCCATATTTTTGGTTATGTTTGTTATCTTCAAACATTTATTTCATTTCAAATTCATTAATATATCTTCACATTAAAACATGTTTTAAATCTTAATGTTTCTAATAAAATAATCTACGCTTAAAAATAACTCTCTTGCATTATCCAATTTGGCTCAATTGAAAAATTATATCTTAGTTCCACCTTGTATCAATCAACAAAATCTATCGATCTTTGATAGTAAGCTAAGCGAAAAAAAATTCCGTCTCCAACGATAGTGATAACGAGTGGAATATCGTCAGCACTCAAAGGATTAAATTAATATAATTTATATTAGATTTTGTATTCATCTTATAACTTACCAGTCTGGGAGAGAGATATACCCATTGGGGGTAAAGGCTGAGCCTGTTGCGTAGGTTGCTGAAGCGTACCTTGTGGTACTACTGGGGCTCCTTGGGCACCGGCCAGCGGGCCTGCAACATGTTGAGCCCCACCAGTGACTGCACTTGCACCTGCCCTACTTAAACTTAATGGTGTATTTGGTTGGCCTGTAGGCCAGTATCCATCTATAAAAAAATATATAATATTGGTTAAATCTTATCTTTAATCTTTATAGGTTCGTATTACTTACAAGGTTGAGGAGTTGGTGCCGGTGCACCATATCCAAACATACTTTGTGTTAGAATGGCATTATGTTGAAAAGGTTGGAAATACGATTGGTTTTGGTGCGTTTGATGCCTTTGCGGTGGGCCACCAAACTAAAATTATAAAATATTTGTTACATTTATAATCATTATCAATAAAAATTATGAATATGATAGATAGTATTTTATAAGCAAATAATGATATGTTTGGAAGAGAAAAGAAAAAATTTTAAAAAATTTAATTATAAAAGAATGTTTAAATATAATTTTTTTCAAAAAATATTCTTTTAATGACATAAGTGAAATGAATGATACATGACGATAAATATATAAAATCAACAGTACTTAACTACTACCTGAAGGGGCATTTGATTGTTCATTGCATATAAGGATTGCTGATGTGGGATCTGATGAGGGACTTGGTATATTGCTCCAGTTTGAACTGGCAAACCACCTGGATGATAAATCGCAGTTGGTTGACCTCCTGCTCCCCCAACTCCCGACATCCCGACTACTTGTGCACTAGTACCCCCTTGCCCCCCTCTGTGACTAATGCCTCTTGGCTGTTGCGGCCTGGGGCCTTGATAGTAACCCTGAAATTAATAATTAAATTAATAAAATTTATAATATATGAAGTTAATTATAAACTGATTGGTTACAATATAACATTATATTATAGGCACATAAATAAAATTTACAATATACTCTAAATATTTCTGATATTTTATATAAATATTAGCAGATTGATTACCAGGTGAAATGCATACCATTTTGTCTATAGAATTGAATGTTTAATTTTCATGTAGTATTATGTCACAATAAAAGTGCAATGAAAGTGTATTTTTCAGTATCATGTAACTATTTATGTTATTTAATATGTTTTATCCATGACATTCAAATTTTTAGTTCAATCGTTTTAAAATATTTATAGAAATAAGGACATCAGTTACCAATAATCACTGTGGTAGTCAATGCGTTAATATGTAATACACAAATTCATTATAATTAACAAACCATAATAAAATTTTTTACAAACGCCATATTTATTTCTACTTACTTGAGACGTTGGTCTTGTTTGTGTTGGCCCATATACTTGTGAGAGAGGCTGTGGCTGAGGTTGTAAATGAGCCTGTTTTCCCATTTCCTGTGGTGATGGTGTATGTACTGGGGGTGTTGTTGTGGGAGCCGGACCTTGCGGCGGTTGTGACTGTACCCCGGGTGCTGGGGTTTGTGGTGGTGCTTGTCCTCCAGCAGGTCCTCCTGGTGGAATACCTGCTGCTGATTGTCCTATGGACTGTAAGCCGCCGAGTGGTGGAGGTCCTCTGCCCCCAGGCACTCCTACACTACCCCCTCCCCCGCCCACCTGGCCCCCTGGTTGGGTGCCGTAATTTTGTCCAGACACATGAAAATCTGATCCTGAAATTCAAAGTAAAAAAAAACATTAAACATTACGTTCAAAATATCTGAAAAATTTTAATATAAAAAATAATTGAATTTTGAAATTAAATATAATTTTGAATGTAAATATATATATATATATTAAAATTTATTACAATTATTCTTACGATTTGTATTTTCATATTAAAACAAATATATTATATATTTTATACGTTTATATATTTATATCATACTAAATATTTTAAACATTTTTACGGGAATTAATCGTTACCGTATGTGCAAAGACAAATTTAATTTCCTTCTTAATGAAATTCAAGATTTATGATTGCTTTAAAACGATTATAAATTGATATTTAATACATATCCGTCGACTAATCGACGCTATATGTTGTACTACTATAAAATCAAGACATTTATTTATACAACATATTTCCGAGAAATTACTTATATCAAAGAGATATTAATTTTCTATTCATGAGAATCTATTGTTTCGATAATCTTATCAATTTTACAAGAAATTTCATATATGAAATGTGATAGGTACGTACTCTACATGCATCGTTGTTGTACGTTATTTGATTAATATAAAAAAAATTAATTATTTCCTTATCTAAAATAGTAGTCGGATATTCACATGATTAAACAATAACTCGAGAAGCAGTGATGATATCGTTAAATGTTACAAAGTGCAGAACGAGATTTTTTTCATTGTCATTTTATCCTTCAGTTATTAAATATATGTATCTGATTACGTGATAAATATACATATATATAAAAAAAAGAAATTAAATATACAGAAGCAAATTAAATATACACTCAAATTTGCATGTGCGCAATATTATCCTGTCGTACAGCACTCGCCAGTCTATCGTTAAATGAATTACTCGTGAAAGCGATTATGCGTGGAATTGCATGACATCGCTTGACATGTCGTCGTCGTCAGTGTTTAAAAGATGCAGTACGATTGATTGTATATTATCAAAACATCAAACTAAATAGGAATTATTGTACTCTGAATGTCTCTATGAATTTACAACAGACATTATGTACAAGAAACGTATGTTTTCATAGAAACGTGCGGATATGTGTATTACCACATGCTACGACTTTATCACGAGAAAATACGTTAAGGACACGAGACAGATAAAAAGAAGAAAAAAATATGGATGTTCGAGAGCTCACCGTTGAAGATCGGGATAAAACTGGTTATCGTTTTTCGTCACGTGAAATATTAATGCCTATTCGTACAAACAGATTTTTTTTACAATGAAGGAACAATGAAATAACAACAAGGCTCAAACGTGAGCAAAGAAACCGAGAAGACGGCCTCACGAACGGCCATCTTTGCACATGTGGATAGGGCTTGGAGCAGTGCTGCTATCTGTAGTCCCATGAATGCATTGATTGCTAGGAAAGGGGGGCGAGGCCGAACTCCATCACCAGGATCGTATTAACTATTGTGAAAATGCAAATTAAACGTATATATAAATGTAATATGGAAAAAAATTATAGAACTTTATGTCTCTTACGTACTTCATTGAATTGAAGAAGCATATTTTAGAGAGTAAGTTGATCAATTTATCATCCTTTGATCAAATAAAGAAAAAGCTGTATATTTTTTTAGATCACGTATTTCAAGCTCGATACAAAATCGATAATCGATAAATACATATGCATTCCTGAATGTATAATGATTGGCGATCTAAGACGTAACATACATAAGTATCAACAGAGTGAAAGAACGTGGCCTGGAAAATACAATCTAGAATGCGATACGTCATTTCCGGTGCCAATTCTTTCCCCTCTTCACTCCTCACTCACGCTAGCTGTCTGTCTGTCTGTCTCTCTCTCTCTCTCTCTCTTTCTCTGTTCTGCTCTTTCACGCCCCTACTACTTCATCACCATTTATTAGATATATATACACACACACAAAAAGAAATATTCTATAGAAAACAACTCATAGAATTCAAATATAAAAAAAAATTAGCGTTACATATAGAACGATAATGCATATGAAAATAAAAGTGAGGTTAGAACGACCGCACTTCAGCCACGTGGCTATACAAGAATACAAGGCATGTTGAAACGATACCGTGGATACAGGACCTTTTAGCGTTGAAAGAATATTATCGGAAACATGTTATGACTATAAGTTTTCTGAATATCGAGAAAACTACTTGCAATTTTTTCAAATATATATAATAACAAGTAAAATGCTATTATTAATCTACATGTTAAAAAGAGAAAAATAGTTAACATTTATAAAATATTTGAAGGAGCACACAAAAATACATTTGGAAGACGTTATTTATAACTAACATTGACATTAATATCAATTGTATCTTATAAATTGTCTTTATTTAATAAATTTATCTAATTGCCTTCGTATTTAAATTTTCTTTAAGTTGAAGGATATTGATTTCAAATATAATTTTTCAAGAAATGCTAATTGTACAAGAATTATTTAATATGATAAAAATTATGGAAATAATCATAGAAATATAAATTTATTTTCTTACAGCATCAAATAAAATAAGTTATGTTGAAATTTGTGTCAATCAAACAAGAAGTCAAATAGAATATGAGAATTATAGTATTTTAATTAATTAATATTTTAATTAATTAATATAGTGGAATGTATTAATAACAATATGTATTTAACTTAAAGAAAACGTAATACAGTAAACAAAATCGACCAACTATTTGAAGTATAAATTTCAAACTTCTCAGAATGGTAAGTTCAAACTTCTCTCGAAATCATAGAATGTTGGCGTCATCGCGACGGAACATCATATCATGCAAGAGGAAAGAATCGAACGTACCTTCGCGACTGTACAAGGTAGAAAGCATTTTATCGATTGACCTATATCGTGAATTGTCTACAATGCCGCCCAGGGGCGCTTAAGGACTAACCTAAATACTAAGCTACTCGATATATCGATACAGTAGCCAATTAAAAGTCGTAAATTACAACTGATTTATTAGTCAAACCTCCTTGGATCTTCGCGCGAAAATTTGAAATAATTTAAAATTATATAGAAACATTTATATTACGTTAAAGAAACTAGATTGAATAAATTGAAATTGATCTTAGATTCTTATCATTTACAATAATTGACATTAAGCATTGCTAAAAAAGTTCAATCTGATAAATTTACACTAATTACATAAAACAGATACTCATAAAGAAGTATTAACTAGCGTAAACTAAAAATATACTTCTTGTTACTATAAATGAAAATATCATAAATTTATTTTTGTAATCATTGTGTGGTATAAATTGAGCTTAGCCATGTATCCACAAATAGATGCAAACGATTCGACTTCTGACAGATAGGGCACCAGGTCAAATTAACTACCTCCAGTGTGCTCGAAAATAACGGGCTTCATGTATGTACACCTCTTTCGTTATGTATAGATGTACAGTGTTATATACAGAATACATATTACTATGTATACATATACACGTATGGAATAAAAAAATCTTCGATTCAGTTAAAAATGAAGAATCATGAGAAATTGCAATAAGAACTGTATCGCATATCATTGAAATACAGCATAGTATGAACAGATTTCTAGTTTTTATTTTTTTAGTCTAGTTCAATTTCAAAACTGACAAATTTTACTTGAAATAAATAGCAAAAATTGCTTAAGTAAATCAATAACTAAAAAGCAAAGATAAATGAGCCTGGAACTAGAAGCAAAGATAAATGAGCAGTATTTGAGATAATGCTTCCATTGGTCGTGAAAATATATGTCCATGATGGAGCAAATGAAGATAAAGCTTTTGTTTGGACGAAATACATGCAAATGTCTAACGTGACTGTAGCAGGATCATAGTAAATATCTATTTCTATTTTGTTTGTTAAACAAAGTTTTAAAATACTGGATGAAAAACAGATAATAGGACAGATTATAAGACAGGAAGTATTTATGCTCTTACGTTTCTATAATACTATATATGAAAAAATTTTAATTTTTTAACCTTTCCTTTATCAATCTTTTTCATTTGATATTTTCTGAGTAGTAAAATTAAAAACTTTTGTCATGACTAAGAATCGAATATGTGACTACTCATTTACTTAAAATTTTGTATATAATTCTAAGTAAATATTATGTGCTAGATATTGTACAAATATAAACTTCTCCTTACACATACATACATGTACTATTCATTTTTTCATTATTCTAAATATTTCTTTTAATTTTCAATTTCTTTAAATTAATTAAATTTTAATAAATAGTATCAAATAATTTATTGATTGATACAGCGTTATTTTTTTAATAATACCAATCAAAGAATGAAATTAGTGTTTTGAATTAAATTCTTGCTAAAGTTGAAGGTACACTGACATTGATAGTAATATGTAAGTGTGTTCAGAAAACATAAGTTACTATTTTTACGTCTGTGCTTTAATTACAATAATTTAAACAATTAAAATCTATATATACATGTCATACATATATATATGTATACATATACATATATCTATACA